GTTTAAGAACTAACTGATATATACCCACAGACCAGAGCACAGATCCACAGGTGGGACTCTCACAGCTGCTTCTAAAATCTTAACCAAGACTAAATGAGTAAAAAATAATTAGCCAGAGCCTTTCAGTTCTAGAGAATCTCTTCATACTACTCAAATCTCTTTTAAAGCCTCATAAAAAAAAACCATTACTCTTTGTTCTCACTTTTAAGTATAATTTTGATCCTATTTATCTGTATTTTAAAATGCTTACAAATCATTTTATTGATCTTTTATTATCAAAATGTACCTATACAAAGCCCTCAGCTGGTCGAGGAATCCTGACTTCTACCATTATCAATTTAAATCTCATATTTAAAAAAAACTCTGCAGATATCTTTTTATGAAATTAAAAAAACTCACTTGTCAATTTCATGTTCACGTGTACAAACAGGATTTGTAATTACTGGGTTGCATACATCTGCTGGCCACCATACTGCATCTGACAAAACACTGAACACTTGGGGATCTCTGGGCTGACTGAATCGTATCTTATCAGCTTACTCCACAATCAGGGTGGTGACCGTTGGTTCGTGTTCACGGCGGATGCTTTATTGCCAAGCGGAAGAGCCTCTAGTGTTACAATGTTTCAAATCGTTCACATTTGTTAAAGTGCTTTTCACTCACTGTGAAAAGCACTTTAGACTTTTGGCACAACTTATGGTTTTAGTCACCACTGATAATGAGCAGTGTTTGTAAACTCTTTTAATGACTCAATGGAAGAAATAAATGTCGGCTTCTTATTTGGAATTGTCTTCATCCACAAGCAATTTCCACTCATTCTTTTTCTTCCTTTTACAATCAAAGTCTAGCCTTATTTGTTTTACAGTTCATTTATCCAGAATGCATTGCACACACAATGTAATGGTAGCACAAGTTACGGGAAAAAAATCTATATTAAACAAACTGACGTTCAAAACAAATTAATAATTTATTTTTGTAGTTTGTAATGATGTGCTTTAGCAGGGAAAGGCATCGTATTATATAGCACATTATGGTCATCAAACTGGAAATATAGCAGTTCCTTTTACTGACTGTGTTTACAGACAATTAATATTTTTATTTACAACTTTTATATGGACTTTTTTTGGAAAAGAAAAAGCCGGCTACATGAACTGAAGACCAAAAAACTACATTTAGTCACATGGTTAAATCGTCACAGTGTTTGTGGTGAAATAACTAGCTCTCTTTAAACTAATGATATTGCCAATATTTAAAAGGTTTAGGTGAGTTTCTTTTAATTTATTATGGAACAATTCAAGTCAAAGTCAAGTCAAAGTTGTAAATGTAAATGTTAGACAAAAACAATCACTAAATTAGTAAAGTGAAGCAACAGCATAAAGAGCTGTCATTTCAGCATGTAGCTCATTTTAATTTTAACATTTGATAACCTCACAAAATTACTGAATCTGGCCAGAGAGGGAAAAAAGCATGCAAACAATGTGACCTCTGAACACCAGCTCAGGGAAACTGGACATTTATTAGAAATTAGTTATGGATGGAGAAACATGTGACCTCTTGCTCCCGGAGGACACATCAGGCCATTCTATTTGGCTGGTTTGGGATTTCAAGGACTAATTGATGGCCATTTTCAAGATTTATTCTGTCATCAGTTGACGGCAAAGCTACAGACATATGCCGCGGATGTCACTGGGCCTCGCAGTCAAAA